AAGTGAACATAACCCTATTTAGGTTAACGACACCGCAGCTTTCTTAAGAAATTCCAGGCATTCGCCAAGCGACACTCCGGGGTCCACCCTAGCAGAAGCCGCCTGGCAGATCACGTTCATTGCTGCGTTTACCCCTAAGGTTAGGGATGATGGTGAGCACAAGGGTGACCGACAGAGCGAGATGGGGTCATTGCTGACCCGACAGATAGACTACACGTGAGAGGCCGTTACCAAGTTCATTACACAGGACATTCCGCAGCCCCACAGAGTTTCTGTCTGCTTCTACGCTGTACCCAACCTTCCTGTCCTGCCATTCCTCCCGTCCTCACCGCCTTCCCCAGGCCCCGGAAATCACTGCTTTGCTTGTGGCCACTGAAGTGGTGTCTCTTAAACAATTTTTGGTGCAACAAGTGATAATTCTGTATGTGCACGTGTGTGCATTTGGCTCCTGTCACATGAAGATCGTGGATTTGTGCATGTTGTGTGTATATGTTGGGGGGGGGTCACCATTATTGCTGGGTAGTATCCCCCTGGATGGATGTTGAACAGTCCCTGTGTTCTTTCACTGGCTGATACACATCTGAGTTATTTCTGTGTTTTACTCATGAGTAAGGCCGCCTCCGGCAGGCCTTTGTGTGGACAGTATGTTTTCACTTCCTTTAGTAGCCTCTGTCTCCGTGACTTCGGCTGTTGCAGTACCTACCAGGAGTGGGGTCATAAAGTCTTGGTCCTATTGTGTCTCATTTTTTAACTTGGTGTAATGTCACTGGGTCCATGCCTGCCACAGCATGCATCAGAATTCCATTCATTTTTGAGCTTGGATTATATTGCATTGTTTGTATGTACCACATTGTGTTCATGGCATTTTTATTGGCAGACAATTGGGTGGATTCCACCTTTTGGCAACCAAGAGACGTGACAAACACAAGATATATATGAAGCTGCTGTAAGTGTAATACAGCATACTGTTTCATGCTAAACTTGTTTTTTGATAAATAAAAAGAACATCCTCTGAACTCATGATCTGAGTATATTGCAGTGGATGCAGTAGACCAGTAGCATTGTCATTATCGAGCATTATGCACTGTGTGTAATTGTGCTGCATCCTACGCTTATACCACCAGCAGCGCATTGAGTCAGCATTAGCACAGACACCAGGACCGTGCCACACCATGATATTACAGGGCTGCAGAGCCGCTAGTTGTATATGCAGTCTACTGTTGATCAAAGTGTTACATGGTGCAAGACTGTATTGTTTTATTTCCTGTGAGCACTTTTCCCTTTGCGTTACTTTTTTTGTTTGTTTGTTTCATTTTCCTCTTGATGAATGTTGGGCTTGAGATTATTGTTACTACTGACTAATTTCATTTTGTTGCTACAGTGGGCTTCCTAGCCTTCTAGCTTGCCAGTTAGTAACTCATTACACACTCTGGGGTTTGCTGCACTTCCTAACGGTGACATACTTCCATTTTGTTTCTTGTCGTCTCTGATGTTGCTATGTAGCTTCATTTCTCTTACTGCAGGTCTGATGACAAATAAGTCTCTTGAGCTTTTATCTACCTGATATTATATACATTTCCCTTTCGATTTTTTAAGATTTTTTTTTTTCTGGGCAAAGAATTTTACCCTGCCGCTGATTTTTTCCCCCTAAAATACTTTGGAGATATTTCTTCTTTATCTGTAGTTTGCATGGCTGCTACAAAGAGATGTGCTTTTGTTCTCCTTTTACTTCACATTGTTTCCAGTTTTGGTTTATTTTAGTATGTTCTTTTTCATTAGTTTTCTCAGCTTTCAGTGTATGCTCGTGTGGTTTCTTTATGTTTGTGCTACCTGCCTGCTGCGTAACTTTTTGGATCTCTGCGTTTGTCCTTCACATGATATTTAGAAAAACCTGAGCCACATTTTTCCGACATTTGTTCCTGGATTCCTCTCTGCCACGTCCTGTCCTGTCTTGTCCCTTCCTCTTCCTGCTTCTTCTTCCTCTCTTCCTCATCTTTTTCTTTTTCTTCTCTCCCATTCTTTCCTTCATTATCTCAGATCTATTTACTCCAGAGTGAGTGAAGGAGTAAATCAATGTGAATGGGTGAGAGATATCTTCCACCCGCTTGGTCTGTGCCAGGCTGAAGCCAGGAGCCAGAAATTCCATCCGGATCTCCCACATTGGTGACGTGGACCCAAGCATTATGGCACTGTTGCACTGCTTTCCCAGGCATGTTAACAGGGAGCTGGAGCTGAAGTGGAGCAGCTGGGAATAGAACCAACACTGCCAGATGAGATGCTGGTGTTGTGAGTGGAGGCTCGACTGTCTGTGCCTCCACAGCAACGCCTTCCAAGCAGGTGGTGATCTCTGGCTTTCCATTCTTGGCGTTGTGACCTTGTTCTTCGTGTTGCACTCCAGTTTGTAAGATAGCTCCAGGTGCCCTTGGGTGTCTGCTGATGCTTCTGGGATTCCTGTCTGTGTCAACAGACACCACGAGTTACGTTGCCTCTGAAGGATGAGCACTTGTAGATGGATGTGATTTAAAAATCCTTCCCACTGGAAACTCATCTGTTTTTCCACTCATCCTCTGTTTCTTTTGGAAATTCTGTGTGTTCTTTAAGATTCTGCAGACTCTCACAAGCTCAGCTTTGTGAACCTGTCCAAGGGACAAGTCAGCACCTCACAGAGAGCCAGGGCACGGGGGAAAAGCTCCAGTTTTGTGGATGGTGTCAGGAAATAGGAAACATGGTAAGGCAAATGCGTGCAGATGGGTGGGGATGTGCCTGCTGTGCCTCTTGCTTCTTGCAGACACGGTAGAATATGGACCATGGGAAAGAAAGTTTTTATTTTCCTCATCACTCAAAGGAATAGGGGGACTTCTCTGACTCTGAGGGTCAAGAGAAACAGGAGTGTGGATTCTGCCGACAGGCTTTGCTACCTGCTAGTCTGATTGGCTCCGGCTTCACCTGGCCTCCTTTTTCTGGGACTCCTGCGAGTTCCCTGTACCTCACCTGCCGTCTTGTGTTCTAGGCGGACTACCTGCCTCCTTTTCTGCCTTTTTCTGTCTGCCTCTTGTACAGTGTTCCTTCATCTATGCTTATTGCTGCTTTTGTTGAAGCATGTCTGTAAAATGTTCTATCTTTTTGCGTCCATACTTCTCTTGGGCATCTGTGTATGATGAATCTGAGTAATTCCAGTGTTTGAGTGCAGGTGCTCCGGATAGCAGGGAGTTTGGCTGTTTCAATTGGCAATTCCAAGAGGTGCAATTCTGTGTCACGAACACTATCCTGTTGAGTGCTTTCTGTGAGATTATTATTATTATTTTAGTTTGGGAGCCAGTTCTTAAGCTTTATTTAGATTCTTACTGGGGGAAGGTGTTGGGGGGGCCGAGAACAAGCATCTTAAAAGAAGCCAGTGGTGTCCTAAAACGGTGAAGGTCTCCGGGAGGAACTCAGGCCTGAGAGGGATGCGCATGGGCAGTACTCTCTCGCTGCCTCCCCATCCAGTGTTTGCAGGGATGTTCGCTGCTCTCAGAAGGAGAGCCTCACGCGGAGTCTTGTGCCTGGGGAGCGCCTAAACGCACCACCAGTCAGTGACCAGACTGCTTTCATTCTGTGCCCGTGTGGTTTCTGCGGGTGGTTTGTTGTTTTAAAAGCTGTTTCAAAGAAGTGTGTTTCTTTTTTCCTGGCAATCGCATGTATCCTGTATAAGTATTTTTCATTATTAATAATTTTGAGAAGAACCGACTCCAGGTCCGAATGCACTTGGCTTGAGTTGCAGGGCTTGATCCAGAGTCATCCTGTCTGATTTGGCGTCCTCCTTGCCAGGATCTCCATCGGAGGCTGCCCACCGGCAAGGTCATGGTTTCTTCTATCACTTCCCGCTGTTGCCAACGTGTTTTTGCAAAGTACTTTATCCCTTTTGTGCAAATCAGTGGTCTTTAGGAGAAACCCCTTTGACCCTTAGGTGGAATTTTTTCTAGCCTGTATACTGGCTTGGGGTGGTTACGTGCACCCATTTCTCACTGTAGAAATTTCCATTTCCAGTTGTGACCTGAATCCCAGCTTTTCCATTGTGCTTTGATTTCCATCGTCTTCCTCCTTTAGGGTTCGTGGTTAAAAATGTTGCCTTTAATTGAATTTCGAAGTTGGTTAAGTTTCTGTGATTTTTCCGTTCCCCTGTCCAACAGCGAGGGTTTGCTTCTGTAGGTATGCTGTAACCTTTTAATAATGACTTTGGGTTTAAAAAGAAATTGAGTTAAATTCTTGAGTTGTTTCAGAAGTTGTAACTTCACACTATTTAAATTTTGGGCCACAGTGAAAGTTTTCGTGAGAGGGAAATTTTACAGGAAAAGCTCCCATGTGTCACGTGTCCATAGTCTTGGAAAGGGTCTTGAGGATTTGGCTAGCCAAAATTACAATTTCAAGTAGTGTACGTACATTCTCCCAGTGAACCAGTGAATATTATTTCTGATTGGGAACTACTCAGAAATAAAGCTGGAGTGAGCACCTAGCCTGATGTGGTGACCTAACAGAGGGAAAAGCTGAATGCTAGATAGGTGGCATGACCATCTGTGATAATGACAGTTTGTACAAGGAGTTAGGAAGAGAGCTCTAGTGCTGTCCTGGGGACTTCTGGTGATCTTATCTCTAAGAAAGTAAGAATTTGAAGTGTATATAATGTAGTAGGCCTTCAGTTTAGAACATACCCCAAATGCATTTTGGTTTTGCAGTGCACGTTTGAGTAATGAGAAAAACCTTACATATTCTGTTTTCTCCCTTGGCTCCTAAGACAATGCTGATAGACCCTGGAGTTGATATTGGATTGTTGGAAGAAACTGCTGCATCTTTATTTTGTTTAAGCTTGTTCTTCATTGTCTTAAGATAATTTGCCCAAGCTCTCAAGCCAGGAAAAAAAAGAAACCCTGCAATTAATCACCTCTTAGTTTGTCTGTGGATTGCCTATTTTAACATCAAACCGTTTCTTTCCACCTTCCTAATCGCTCATTTGTTTTGTTCAGGCGCTTGTCCTCGATTTATGGGACTTTGCGGAAGAGGACCTGGTTTCTGGATCCAGAACTGATTCCGGTAAGTCTGAAGGAAACGCGGCAATTCCCTTTCTTTGCTGGTGAGAGGTTAGGATGGACAGATCACAATCTTGAAATATTTCTGTTATCTTGCTTCCCACCTGGGGAAATGCCCGTTGGAGACTACGTCAAAGCGAATACGCCAGGATGCGACTTTCAGTGCCTAGAACCTGCGTTTCCTGTAATTTCTTGTTGTATCAGACACTGGTTAGCATTTCTTCCCTTATCGATAACCCAAAGTTTGGAATTTCTTGTTGACTTCCAGATGATAGCACATGTTTTAACTGATGCATTTCCAGGCACTCTTTACTGTCCTAATCCTCTGTAGGATCTGGCCTCTGGTAATTTCATGATGCAAATTCAAGAAGAGATTAGATTAGATTTGTGACTGGGAGAGTGCCAGCACTGTGGGGCTTTAGGCACCTAAGGTCACAGTGTGGTTTATCTTTTAGCCCTGGAGCTCCAGTGAGTTGCTCATGGCCTGTAACAGTATCTGTCTCACGTCTCACTCCAGTGGATTCTCTTCTTTCCGTTCCTCCTTTGGCATCTGGGTACTCTTCCTCTAGAATCTCTAGGGCATCATTCTGTCTTTATAGACTTTTTTTTTCCTGAATAAATTTCATTGCCTGTATTGGAGCGTACGAAGCTGATGCTGTAGAATATGTTTGCTACTAGAATGCACACTGTAATGAAGTAGATGAACATGCCTGTGTATCAGTTATTTTTTTTTTAATAAGAGCAACTAAAGTCTGCTTATAAAACGAAAACCCCCTAACAACATTAATTTTAAAAAAATGATTTTGCTCATTTGAATGACAGGGAGGGAGTGAGAGTGCTACCGTCTGCTGCTTTACCCCCTCAGATGGCCTCAGTGGCTAGGGCAGGGCTGGCCGGAGCCAGGGAGGAGCCCTGAGGGTGCAGGGGCCGAAGCACGTGCGTGATTCTCTGCTACTCTCCCTGGCCGTTGGTGGAGAGCTGAATCTTACGTCATGCAGCCGGGATTTGAACCTGCACCTGATTGGGATGCTGGCATCGCAGCTGGAGACTTCACACGCTATGCCACAGAGCCAACCCCACAATATAATCTCGGTAACTTTAGGTCCCGTGAGATCTCCAGGCTTGTCTTACATGTCTGCTCGTCCTTGTTCCTGTTTCTCTCTGCCAGCCTACCCCTACAACTGGTAATCTCTGTTTCATTCCTTATTACAAAGTACTTTGGAACTTCCTCTCTTTCTCGCTGTCTCTTTAATTGCATATGTAATTGTGATCATATTTTTTTCTGTGTTTATTTCATGTAGTTTAGTGTTATGCAGTTTCCTTCATGTTTGTGGGAAATGACAGACTCCTTGGTTTTTAAGACTGAGTAGGGCCTGGCACAGTCGCCTAGTGGCTAAAGTCCTCATCTTGAACACACTGGAATTCCATATGGGCGCTGGTTCTAATCCCGGCAGCCCCACTTCCCATCCAGCTCCTTGCTTGTGGCCTGGGAAAGCAGTCAAGAATGGCCCAAAGTCTTGGGACCTTGCACCCATGTGGGAGACCTGGAAGAGCTACTGGCTCCTGGTTTTGGATTGGCTCAGCTCCAGCCATTGTGGTTATTGGGGAGTGAATCATTGGACAGAAGATCTTCCTCTTTGTCTCTCTTCCTCTCTGTATATCTGACTTTGCAATAAAAATAAAATCTTAAAAGCTGAATAATTGCCCACTGTATTTGTATGGCAGGACTTCACAAAGTCACGGGAAGTTTATTGTGATGTATTTTTGATATCCATGCATACAAGGGATCTTCAAAGAAGATCCTGGAAAATGTGTATTAGGAAAAGACTATGCTTAGGTGTCATTTTTCTTTCCACAAAAATAAACATTTCTTAATTTCATTTTCTATACTTTTTAAAAAGATTATTTATGTGAAAGGCAGAGTGACAGAGAGGAGAGAAGGAGAGAGGAGAGAGGGAGAAAGAGAGAGAAGAGAAGAGAGAGAGGAGTTGGATGAGATGTTTTCTTTTTTTTTTTTTTTAGATTTATTTATTTATTGGAAAGTCAGATATACAGAGAGGAGGAGAGACAGAGAGGAAGATCCTCCGTCCGATGATTCACTCTCCAAGTGAGCGCAACGGCCGGTGCTATGCTGATCCAAAGCCAGGAGCCAGGAACTTCTTCCGGCTCTCCCACACGGGTGCAGGGTCCCAAAGCTTTGGGCCGTCCCCGACCACCCTCCCAGGCCACAAGCAGGGAGCCGGATGGGAAGTAGAGCCGCCAGGACTAGAACCTGCGCCCATATGGGATCCAGGGCGCCCAAGGCGAGGACTTTAGCCGCTAGGCCATGCCACCGGGTTCGGATGAGATGTTTTCTGATGGTTTGTTCTCCAGATGGCCACAAGGACCAGGGCTGGATCAAGAGGAAGTTGAGCTGGAAGTTTCATTCAGGTCTCCAAGCAGGTGGCAGGGACCCCAGAAGCTGGGCCATCTTCCTGGTTACCCAGGTGTGTCAGCAAAGAACTGCATTGGAAGTGGAGCAGCTAGGGACTTGAACCCATCTGGGATGTCTGCATCGTTGGAAGTGACTTAATCTTTCCATGAACTTTTTGAAGTCCCCACCTGTTTGCCACATTCTCTTTAGCCATTCATCTATTGACGAACATTCAGATTGCTTCTCTGTTTGGCTGTCCTGAATGATGCTGCAGTGAACATGGTCATGCTCATATTTATGTTATACTAAGCAAACAAACAAAACAAAGAACCTCGGTAAAACCCACACCACACCAAACGAAACAGATCCTAAAAAACCTAACAGCTGTGCCCAGGGTCACTGCTTATGATGCTCACATCCCCTGTTGGAGTGACAGTGTGACTCTCCCTCCAGCCCACCTCTGGTCTAGCTTTCTAGTAACGTACCCAGAAAGTTGTGCAACAGCTTCCTCTGTGGGTTCACTCCTTGGTATCTAGACAGCCTAGGTCTAAGTTGGAACTCGGGCCTGGAATGAAGAACCCAACCCAGGTTGGCCGCAGGAGTGATGGAGGCACACGTGCTGACCTGTCACCTCTGCCTACCAGCATCCACATTAGGAGGAGGCTGGGATCAGAGTGGAGCTGGAACTCGGGCATTCTGATACAGCACTTGACTGTCCTAATTGATGCTTTAGTAGCAGCCAAACTTCCTGCCCCCGGGACAGTTGTTAAAAATTGTGTTGGATGATCTCAACTGTTTGAGGAGTTTGGCCTTCCCTGCGTAACACAGGAAAAGTCCATTTTCATCACCTCGTTGCAAAGGCACACACTTTGTCACCGTTGCTTTGTTTTCCTGTTGTTTTTGGTCATCTGCCTGAGGTGGTTTTCTTCAGGCTTTTCCATTGGAAAGTTTTTTCTCCTCCCTTGCCTTTATTGTACTTCAGGGAAGGAAATTGCCGCGAAGGGGACCACACTTCAGGAGCGTGGAGTTAATTTCAACCTCCTTGAGGAAGAAGTCGTCACATAGTTTATTTGGGATTGCTCTGCTAGGAAATGTATCTATTCATTTTCATTTTTAAAAAAAATTTTATTTATTTTATTTGGGAGAGATGGAGGGAGAGAGAGAGAGAGAAAGAGCAATTTTGCATGCATTGATTTATTCCCTAAATATTTGCACTGACTGTGACTGGCCAGAGCAGAGCCAGGGACTGAGTTGACGTCTAAATCTCCTACGTGGGTGTCCAGGCTGTTGAGCCATGCTTTGCTTCCTTCCGGGGTGTTCATTAGCAGGAAGTTGGAATTGAGAGTGGAGCCAAGTCTTGAACTGAGGTGCTAGATTATGCGATGATGGACATGCTAACCAGCAGCCTAGCCAGTGTGCCAAGTACTCACTCTCCATTTATTTTTCACTCATTGATATCAGCATAGATATAATTTTTTTTATCTGACTTACAATTTAATTGCTGGTATGTATTGAGGAATTATTAATATGTTTGTGTTAGCAAGTCTTTCCATTTCTTTCTTGTTCTCAACTTCTTTCTGGCCATCTTCCTTTTTACACCTTTGCTCATTGGTCTTTTATTGAGTTCCTGAACTCAGTGTATCCAGGTTACTTAAGGCCAACCCAGTAATTTTATACGTTCTCTCTTATTTCATGCTAATTTTTATTGACAGTGATTTTCCTACTCAGAAGCTAGGATGGAAACCAGGGGAATCCTTTGGTTTTTCTTTCTGTACTGTACTTGCTGCGTTGGAGTTCCCAACACCCTTCCTTTCTACCTCCACAGTGTCACCTCCACTGACCCACAGCCATGTCTCTAGCACTCATGTCACTTACTCCTCACTGACTCTTGGACTCCTCCAGGGAGTGCTAACTCTACCACCAGTTTAACAGTGATGTTAGGAAAGTTCCTGGAGATAAGGATGGGAATCCTCCAGGAACTGAAAGCGATAGTGTATCTGAAGAGTGAGGCGTATATCCAGAGTTCCAGGCAGGGTACTGGCAGACACAGTGTTGTCATTATTTTCATTCTGTGCAGCTCCACTTCCATCCTTAGGATGCCTCTTTATAATGTGCCACCTGCTCAGCAGCTTGACTGTTGGCTGTTTCTCCCGCCACAGGCTCCTTTCAGCCAATTTCATGTTATTTATGGGGTTGTGAGCTTCCTAAGCCATATGCTTTAGCTGCTGCTCCTTCAGATGGGTTCTCAGTTAGGAATGCCCTTATGTTCCTTGCGTACCAGGAAATCAACTTTTACATGAATGTTCAGCTCACTGATGCAGGCTAACACCCCGTCTCCCTCTGTTGTCTGTGTTGTTCATACAGATCGATTATGTGTGCTGTTTTTATGTTTGAAAGGCCATTATTCTGTCAAGCTATGGATCTACTTTCTTTTTTAAGGATTTATTTTATTTATTTAAAAGAAAGAGTTACATAGAGGGTTTCTTTACTTTCTAAGAGACTTGTCAAATACACTTGCTGTGTTATTTGATGCCCAGGTACTTCTAGGGTACTGAATGCCGACACAGGTCCTGATGGCTTCAAAGAAAGTC